TGTGTGTGTGTGTGTGTGTGTGTGTGTGTGTGTGTGTGTGTGTGTGTGTGTGTGTGTGTGTGTGTGTGTGTGTGTGTGTGTGTGTGTGTGTAAGTGGGTCAGTTGTCAAGCACAGCAACCGCGTGGGACTTGTATCTACTAATTTTTGTGTCTGCTCTGTACCATGCGACACATACACAAATCCACTCGCTATTTTTTGGGGGGGGGAAATGTCCCATGCAAAACCACCATAGTCTCTGGAGTGATGCCCTCATTTCTTCTCTATTGTGTGAAGGTACATGTTTTCCAAGTTTGTAAGACGGTGCGATTGTGAAAGGGGAAGCATGACTTTGAGCATAAATAATTTCCTGTGTGCACGGAGGTGGCTGCATGTGTGCTGCGTGTCCCCTTGTTCTCCGTATTATACACTTGATAAGTTCAAAGTGCCTGTATCTATTTGCTTCGGCAAAGTGATTTGACAAAGCTCAACTGAGCCCATTTGTGACTGCATGTATCTACGTGTGCGTGTGTGTGTGTGTGCCTGCGTGTGTGTGCCTGCGTGTGTGTATGAGCAGTTCATTTCACTCATGCTGGCCTTAGAGACAATTACAGCAGAGATCATTTGTTTTCAGGGATGAGGTACAACAATAAAAGGTCAAGAGTGAATATTCAACCACGCAGAAGGAATGGAAGGGAGATGGAGGGGAAGAGAAAGTGATGGAGGACGGGTTGGAGGGTAACTAAGCAGGCAGAAAGTACCTCATTAACTAGTCTAATTGATTGATGATTCTACACACCCCAGCAAAAATAGATCCCAATCCTGCTTCCAATATTGTAACGCCTCTGGTTGTGTTTAATTGCGAGGCAGACAGCAAGAGGAAAGAGAGGATTATAATAGGAGGCCTGTTAGAGCAGCACACAGGCAGCGAAGTCTTCACAAAGTGTAATGTGTTTGTTTTGAGGACCATTCACCTGTAATAAACTGAAAATGCCAGTATTTGTCTTGGGGATTTCTCAGCGATTGTTTTTATTCCTCCGTCTGGAGGCTTTTAGTGGTGAGGATGTACTTTGCCACTGTATATGACATTTCAATCCTGAAAGCTGCAACACTCATCTAGTCGTGTCCAACACTCCTCATCCTGGGTTCCTCAGGGAGTGGAACAGCTCTTTACTTTCAAGTTTATAGTTCACCTTTTAGCTTGCATTACTCCTGTCTTATTTTCAGCCACAGCTGCATGTCTCCACGGTCCAACACTGAAATGCTACGTTTGGATGAAATCATGTACACACATTTCCCAGAGTATAAATCTGACTTTGGTGATCCCCTGACGTTTCCTCGAACAACATCATGAGGTGGTTGCATCTGTGATTTTGACTGAAGTGTCTCAACAACTATTCGCTGGACTGCCATTCACAATGATACAGACATTCTCATACCCCTTGGGCTGGGACCTGTCTTCATAAAACTAACATATATGGAAATATACAAAACAATAAAAAATGTGTTGGTTCAGTGTAATCCATCTGGAGCTGCCTTCACACGTTGGAAAATGGAATACAAATATGTGCCATACTCAAATTTACAGCAATATGACAGCTCCTGTCGTGAGAAATGTGGAAATGTCAAAGCTGGGTCAGAGGCCAGATAAGGCTGAGAAATGTTTAAAATGTGAAGAAAGTGCAAAAGAAGCTGCTGCTGGGAAACACACAGCACCAAGCTCAGTCAGTCGGATCTGTTGGTTTGCTAAACAGTCGCTGTTTACTTTACAAGAACCTTGGCCCAATGAGTCACTGTCAGCAGGACCAATCCATTCTCACAAATGGGTTGGTTCTGTGTTCAATTAGTCGGCTGCTGACTTTGTATTCCTTCTTCTTTTATAGATGATCTACTTGAGTTAAGGGTGGATGGAGCAGCAATGAAAGGAAACAGGGTCCACCTCATTAGCGGAGGTTATGACGACCGCCAGACTTGTTAGCATAGAATAGTAAAATCTCAGTTGTAATTCATATATTAGGTTTTTTCCTGTATTTATATATATTTTCTTTCAATGGTGGTAAAATGTAACTATTCCTTTCACCTTTGATAGTGATTTCTCACAAACCGCTGTATCAGCATTGATGCTCTGCAAAGTTCTCCCATTAAATTTTCTTCCTCTGCTCACATTTCTTTCTCCCTTCTTCATTTGCAGGCGACCCTCCAGTAGGTTTCCGTGACGTGCTGCTGCGTGATGGTCCCGAAGGATTCGCCAAGGCCGTGCGCGCCCACAAAGGTCTGCTCCTAATGGATACCACATTCAGGGACGCTCACCAATCGCTCCTGGCAACAAGGGTTCGGACCCACGACCTGAAAAAGATCTCGCCATTTGTCAGCCACAACTTCAGCAACCTTTTCAGCTTGGAGAACTGGGGAGGTGAGTTTTAGTGTGTTGAATATGTGACTTGATCATTTAGAATATTTTTGTCACTGAAAATGTTCTGAACTCTCTCAAAACTCTCCAAATGTTCATCTCCCTTAAATCATTTAAAACTTTTTTAAAGCAGTGTGGGGTCTGGCAGAAGCAGGCAAGAACCTTCATTATACTTCAATTCTTTATTTGAGGCTAAGCTCATCATATTCTGGCTCCTTTTTGATTTTTTAACGGATAGTCGTAATATTGACCTTTTCATCCGATCGGAAAGTATAAAAGCATCTTCTAATCTAAATGACCAGGTATATTGGTCATTTGTCATCTCGATTTACAATAACAAACGTGTGTAAGGTTATAGATTTTTAATGGAAGGACATCATCTATCAACAATAAATAATCCATTTGCTCAAAATACCAAACTATTCCTTTAAATGATCCAAAACAACAAAAGCAATCCGAATATTTTGCTCTCTCAATCTCAAATCATTAATTATTAATGTTTTACTTTCCATTGTCGCCATGTTTCGCACCATGTTTCGTTGATGACAGTGATTGTACCTCACTTTTCCTGTTTCAGTCATTTAAAATGAGGTGCCATTGAAAATGCATCTCGATCCTCCCCCACATCACTCTTCCGCAGGTTCCCTCGAAAGACAGTGATTGCACCTTTGCCTGCTCTTGCATGAATGAAGAAAACAGCGCGTTATTGAAACTTCTTGAGGCATGAACAGTCCAATAATGTCCCTGTATAATATGCAATTACTCTGAAATTGGCCAGAGAAGGAGAATATGTGCCTCGTGTTTGAACAGTTGGCAACGAGACCAATTATCAGCACTTCTTGATAACGGTCCAATGTGAAGTGCAGTTGTTAAGAACTGGTTTCAAAGAGTAAATTCGTTTTTCCTATTCAAACACTTCCTTCACGTACATTTGTGGAGGAGATATGAACAGTGCGCCTCTTGAGGTTGAAACACTTCATTTGATGCTCAATTATAGTCAATTGTGATTGAGCTTGTATGACCTGGAATGCTTTGAGTAGATCACAAGAGCAAACAACAAAAACCTTAAAATAAAACATGGGGGTTCTGTTGCATTGACACTGTTAAGGCCAGTGAAACCTCTTCGATGCTGTAAACCCTCAGGATGAAATTCCTGCTGATCATTGTTCACCAGTGAGGAGGGGAAAAGTAATACATTTCATTACCGTGGCACTTTGAGCTGATCTCACATTAGGACACTGTCTACTCCTCTCATGTTTGAACAGATAAAAGGTTACAGCAAAAGTAAATCATACAGGAGTAAAAAAAGGGCTTCCTCCTGACTTCCACCTCCTAATGTATCACAAGGTTATTGTGAGACTGACCAGAAAATGGTGAAGCTTGGCTGTGTTTAAGGAGTTACACTAAAAGTAAATCTTTGAGGAGAAAAATTAACCCTCGTAGTGAACTCTGTCCTTCCTCCTGGAGGAAATTGCTGAATAGATACCAGGAAAGACCCCCACGTCATTATGTGTGAAAACCTTCACAAAAAATAAACCTAGACCCTAAGAAATGTGTTGACCAAATGTTGTTTACCATCATTTATAATTATGCGTAACACAACCTCGCTGACTTTGTAGGATCCTTTCACTCTGCGGCAGCCTCACCGGGTTCAAACGCAGTCCAATGGGGTGATTGTTTGTCTTTTAAAAACTGTCTTGCACCTTTTAGGAAATGTGAATCACCAGGCACAGTCAGACACCTTTTACTGATAAAAGGGCACAAACTGAGCTTTCCATCAGGTTTTCTTACTGAGAAATAGAAACTGTGCAAAACAGTCAATGCATCCTGCAGAGAGCATGGTTTGAGGCCGTTTAATGGTTGATCATTAAAGATGTTAATTTACGAAGAGTTTCCTATTTTCTAAACTGAGACTGAGGTTTTTGAAAGTCTTAACCATTTGCTCATTGAACTAAATGCCAGAGAGACGCAGCAGCAGTTGGGTTTAATGGAGTTATTATTCTTTAATAGGAAAACCACATTTAATAAGGTTTGAGCCAGAACAGTAAGAGTTTACTTTAAAAACTGTTCATGTCACAACCTCATTTTTAAGGCTTCAACACTATTTTTCAGCACAATGTATGAAAGTTGAAAGAAACCGAGGTGACAACATGTTGAACATTCTTAACTTTGGCAAATGTTGCAGTAAAAGCTCAAAGTAAACACTGGAGAACAATCTTCTCTCTGTACCCAATCCAATGGCATGAGAAAAGTGAGTACGTATTACTTTGAGTCCTCCTCATAGAACACTTGTCCCTCCTTCATAGAGCACTGATGTTTGAATTTCAGTGGGAGTAGAGTTTTGAAAGCTTCTGTCAATAGTAATGCTTGAAGTTGTAACAGTCCTTTGTGAATGTATGCTCGTCTCCCATTCGTACAAGGACGACAAGAGAACATCAGTGAAATCAGATGTAAAACAAGAGCTGGAGAAGTTTTAACACCTCCTGATATAATGATTCTGTAATGAGCTGATAATATGAGCTGCGGAGCATAAGATTCATTTGTCTTTCTCAGTTAAAAGCTGTGTAGTGTGTTAGTGTGTGAATCCTCTTGAGGCGTCAGTAGCTCCTTCATATTGTGAGTCAGGGAAAACAGAATGGGACTCTCTCATAATTATTTAAACACTTAACGGCAGAATAAATTCTAGAGATATCCCCCTGACACCGTCCTGGGACTCAACCAGTTTGTGGTATTATAATATCTTTGCATATCTTCCTGTGAAAATAAATATTAATATAATAAATGCAGTCTGTTATTAAATATAAACAACAGAACATTTGGAAAACAGAGTCTTTTGACCCATATTATCTCCTGACAATCAAGGTTCGTGTCAATGGGTTGTTTCTGTTAGTTAGTTCTATCACTTACTTTCAGCAATCCCACATGGGGCTGCTCCAATTCCTGTTTTTAAAATGTTATTTTTTTCCATTTCATTTCAAAGTTAGGAAACTTGTGAGTGAAGAAACCAAATCAGTGAATAACTCTGCAAAGCATCTTTCCATTTTTGTTCTCAGCCTATGTTGATTTTATAACTTTGCCTTGGTGGGTTCACTCATCTCTTCTTGTTTATTATTATTGTCTTGCTGGGTAACTTCTGTATTGTGAGGTTCAGTATGAATTATGTTTTCTTATAAGACCAAAAAGATAACCACTCTCCTACACTTTAATATATTTTAAAAGAGTATTTTCCGTTAACTTTCCATGTGGTTTTCATTCAATAAATGACCAAAGACTATGTTTCCACTGCATGATACATATCACAGTGAGGATATTTTCAGAGGTCCTTTTTTTAGGTTCCTGCCTTCTTCAGTTTCTTACATTCCTTTGAAATGTGCTCTTTAATTCGCCTATACCCTGCCGCACAGGATCTGTCCTCAAAGCTCCGTCTAATTTGCCTTGGACTTCAGCCAACGACCACGAGGCGACAAGACAATTTGTTTTTGCACCCATTATTATTATAACAGACTTAAAAATGGTGGTCACAACAAAGTTTTGGTTGGTCTTGTTTTTCACCATAATCAAAGAGCTGGTGCCACCCTCGTATCAGTTTTTCTGGTTGGCAGTCGAAACACAAAGACCTGGTTCGAGATCAAGCACTGGCTCCAAACCGGCCCTGGAACTACCTTGGTGGCAAATAACAGACATCATTAGGAGCCGTTTTCTAAGACTTAATAATGTTCCAGAAGACCACAACAGTTTTTACAGGATGACTACTTTTCTTGACCATCGATCAAATCACTGCAGTGCCTTTTTAATTGAAGAACGTTGTTGCCTTTTACATTATGTCTCAGGATATTGTGTAGCTATCTATTTGCCACTAAAAAAAAAAACCCACATTCACTAAGCACTCCCAGATTCACCAGCAGCTCTCCGCCTCCTATTGATTAAAGTCGTGAAGCTCAAATTAGACTAACTGTGCTGTAGTGAGACGTTCAATGTAGAACATTGTCCCTCAGTGACAGCTTGTAAACGTACCTTTAAACAGTTGCTCATAAATCATTTGATGACCACAGGAGGAATAACTACCATGTCTCTCTTGATGTGAAATCCCTATACAATGGGCTTTATTACAAAGTGATCAGGGATAAAGAATATTACGCCTGGCTATGCTCAAATCACCGAGAAACAAAAATAAACCACTGAAGGGAGATGACAACGTGAGTATTGACTGCTGTTACCCTGACACATTGTCCCTATGCAAAGAATCGTTTTTCCATAGATTGGTCTTAGATAGAGAATATTGCTTTCACATGTTTCAGCTGCTTAAAGGCAGAATGAATCATTGGACAGATAAAGCCTGTGGGAGCCCTTTGAGGATTATGTCCCCTCCCGATGGAGCATTTCCTCCCTACACCATTGGAGATACAGTAATATGAACTGGAGACATATCCACAGACGTATGACAAATTAAAGGAAAAACCGACAAAGTGACTCAGTTAGGTCTCGGGCCGCCACGAGACGACAGAACAGCTTCAATACACCTTGGCCTTGATTCTACAAGTGTCTGAACTATGCTGGAGAGACAAGCACAATTCTTCCCGGACGAATTCAAGCATTTGATGTTTTCATGAAGGAGCTTCCAGGGCGCCGTCTAATATGTCGGTCCAGAATCTTCCACAGTTCAATTGGGTTGAGATGACTGGTGAAGGCTAGAGCATACAATTCACATCATTTTCATCAAACCATTCAGTGACCTCCTCCTATGGAAGGAGGATTCATTATTCTTTTTTTCCACTTATTTTTCAGATTTTTCCTTTAACTTGTCACTTCTCTCTATATGGTTCCTCAAATAAGGTGTATTTTATTCTTGTTTCTTTTGTATTCTTGTTTGTTAAATCTGCAAAGCAGGACTATCTGTAAAAGGCACTATCCTAAATCTCCACCATGGGTGTTATGTTTCGTCTGTTTGTTAGTTAGTTACTAATGCTACTAGCATTATGCATAATCTACTGATTAGATTGTCATTTTAATGGGCGGAAGGATGTGGTATGGGTTAGGGATGAACCGGTTTCATTTTTTGTGTGAATCTGGATCAGGGGGCACAACCAAAACTCTCCAATTTCTCTAAGAAAAATTCATGGATATTGATTTTAAAAAGTCCTGTCTTGTTCAGTCCAGTGGTTATATAGTTGGTTTGTTCCAATACCGTTTAAATATTTAAGGTATGTGATATGTCTTTGATACAGGATGTAGACAAGAGCAATCAACAGAGTCTGGACTATATGAAGGCAAATAGACCAATCCAGAGCAATACAATGGAGTCACAGATGACATAAAAATTGATCCAGCAGGATAAAGAGTCAGATGCATCAGAGCTATAATTGTACACTTAAGCAAAAATGCTGATAACTGCTGAGAACCGTGTGCTTATGTAACTCAATGATTCAAATAATAGATATTAATCATTTATATTCTTCTCGGGCATTCTGTTATGGACTCAAGAGTGTGAGATAGAATTAAACTTTATAGAACTTTATTTTCCCACCAGGGGAAATTTGGACCAACAGTTGTGAGACATAAAAACTGTTTATTGTTGAGTTTTATGTAAAATATGCTCTCGCCTAACAAACCATGTATTCCCACACCTATCCAGGAGAGAGTTTACCCTAAAATAAGTTATATTTCTCTCCTCAATCTTCAGACAGGTTGGTGAATAATGGGCACTGCCAAAAAGGCAGTTTCCATCCGTCCATCTGATTTGTTCCAGTACATCTTCATGTCAGATTGGAAGCTGCCTGCTCTAAAAACGCAGGCTACAGCAGCGCCCGTGCCAAACGTCCTGCACGTGGGACCAGCTATCAGTCATCATCTGTGTTATCAAATTATTAGAGTAAATTTTGCTGCCCCAGATGAATTCCTCACTCAGCATCATGGTATGATATCTCACATGCAATGAAATATTAATCATCAGATACCATTGCTTTGAGTCATTTCCACTCTGAACTAGTAGCTGTAGACATGCTGACGTTGGCCCAAATCAGGGGAAGAAAAATAAAAAAGAACTTGATAAAACGGAGGGTTTTTCCGTGTCAATTCGGTTTCTCCCAGTGAAAGGAACTGGGACGTGTGCTTAGTATTCTATCTGTGTCTAAATGTATAAGCGTTCAGAAAATGAAATTTAATGATGACAGTGTTGGATCAGCAGAAATCCTCTGGAACCTTCAATATTTCTGGCTGATGTGATAAACGGGAATGAGATTTGCTAATCTACTCCCCCAGAATGGGAAATGAGAGATCGCTATCTGTTTTTTTTTTTTTTCCAATTCTACTGAAACATGTCTCCGACTTGAAAGTGACTTTTAAGAGGCAACTTTTCCCCCTTCTGTTTCCGAGTGGTATCGATGAACGCTCCCTGTTTTATCAACTTGACCACAACAGATCACAGTCGTTTTCACCACAGCTCAATTTAGAAAGACAACCACCAGAAAACTTGTTTTTTCTTTGTAGGTTTGACAATAAATCATGTCAATTGTAATAATTGTATTACTACTGATCTAATGAAAACAATGCTAACTTATCAGTCATGTCATGGAGCTCTCTCTGTAATCATGCTGACCGATGGGACTCTACTTCATGTGAATGCCTGTGTGAGGGTCACTCTCGACCTTCCCTTCTACCTTCCCGACAACCAGGTTCTTTTTCTTTTGCTGGGTGGAGACTCCACAGTTACTCCAGTTGTTTCAACGCCTGCCATTTCTGCAACGTTGGGGAAAACAACAATTCTCTACTGTGTTTTGTTTTGTTTGTGCAGCACTTCTTTTGTGCCCCAAATCAATCCTTCATCTTCCTGAGAAATTTCATGCCCGATGGCAGACAGAACTGCATAGAGAAAGTTAGGCTTCATGGGGAACCAGTCTAAAGCAGAAGTGTGGATTTTGTGTCCCATATGTGTGTCTGTGTGTTGTGGATAATGTGGTACGTTTAAAATATTAGTTTTGGAGCCTAAAATTTAGATCAAAGTCGGGATTTGAGATGACGGCTGAAATTAACTGCCACCCCTCTGTGTGTGTGTGTGTGTGTGTGTGTGTGTCACATTAGGTGCAACCTTTGACGTTGCCATGCGCTTCCTGTCAGAGTGCCCATGGAAACGTCTCCAGGAGCTGAGAGCTTTGATCCCAAATGTACCTTTCCAGATGCTGCTGAGAGGGGCCAACGCTGTGGGCTACACCAACTACCCTGATAACGCTGTTTTCAAGTGAGTCACTCTCACGCACACATACTCCCACATTTTATCCTTCAATCAAATGTTTAAGAGCTTTAACACTGAGTCTCACTGTGAACCTGCTGACATAATTTTGTATTTTTGTGTCCCAAAACCTTATTTAGCCTGTGTACTGTGCAGAACACATATTTTATTTGAAATGGTGGAAAGCATCAATTATAATCATGCTTTCTTCAAACCAGCTGCCGCTCCTCCAGCTTCATTGTCCTTCACTCATATTATTTATAAAATTTCCCCTTTCTGGGTTGTTTCCATGGGAACAACATGGGCAACTATCAACTCCATATATGATTTTGTGCCGCTGTGAGCGCCTGTGCGTGCGTTTGCACCTCACTATTTACTCAAGGTAATGATACATTTCATTCCGGTCACCTTTTAATTGAATCACGTCCACGCCCGAGGCTCATGCAAAAACTTTCAGACCACATATGATGAAGGAAATACACTGCCGGGCAGTCGGCTGTTTTTCCTTCCACTCTTTGTATAGTTAGATCACTTTTGGTAGTAAGAAAAGCCCTTTCCCCTCCTACGCTCTCCTACACTGTATCAATGACCATATATGTAGTATCTATTTCTTTCTAAATGTTTCCAAATGCAGATAATATAAGATACACAACTGACACAAACATTAAATCAGGTCAATTTGGTTCATGTTCTGGTTGCCCCCTGCCATGCTCAGTGAATTACACTGACATATTGTTGATTCAGATGTATAGCAGCAATGCATTTAGGGACTGTACGCATGCACACACACGCACGCACACACACGCACACACACGCACACACAC